CTCTTCTCTCCACGTCCTCCTCGTTTCTCCTCCTCCTCCTCCTCCTCTTCTTCTTCTTCTTCCTCCCCCTCCTCTCGTTTGTCCCCAAGCACGCCATATCCATAGCCAGAGTAGACATAGTTTTTTTTTTTTTTTTCGCATCTTGAATCCTCCTCCTCCTCCTTCCGGGTGGACCGGGGTGAGTCAACCGGCCGGTTCCCGGACCAGCCCTGATTCTGTTCTGAATTTACTTGAGGAAAAGAACATGCATCACACACACACAAAAAAAAAAAACTGTCTTTCAGGGTTCACCCAGCCAGCCAGTGTGCTGCCTAATTGCTTATTAACTGTCAGCGTTGTGTGCTCTTCGACGTCCGCACACTCGCTGCATGCTACATCACACTCCGTTGCGACCTCCGTCTCACTCACAACGTGGGGTTGTTCTACTAGCAGTGCTTGCATTTCGTGGGTACAGAGGAACAGGAGTCTGTCTGCACCTCCCTCCTGCCCTTCTCGTACAAATGGACAGTCAAGCTCCCCATAGCCATGGCTGCAGCTTCCCTTTATCACGAGGATGACTACAGCACAAGTTGCCCTCCCGTTGCCCCCATTACCACCTATCCCCCCATGCAAGGCCACAGTGGCATGCAATCCAACACCCTGGCTTGTGGCATCCCAATATCAGCCCCCTACTGGTGGCAATGAACATCTACCAGCCGATGCAGTATTACTGCCCAGCCACTAAAAGCAGCAACCCTATAACCTCCACTGTTAGGGAGCTAGACGTGCAGATCCACTTAGCTGCTGTCTGTCTGTCTGTCTGTCTGTCTGTCTGTCTGTCTGGCTGGCTGTATCAACATTCCTATGCAAACAAGGATCGCACATGCAATTGTCGGACATCGGCCAGTTATGAGCACTGTGCCAGTCGACAAGGCCCGCAGATGGACTGACGGTCAGTAGGCCCTAAAATGGTCGGGGTCGAGGAAAGGCCCAGTCCAGAGTGACAAGGACAATGCTGGGCTAGGCCAGGGTGAATCCGGAAGGGTCTGGACAGTCCCAAATAGCCAGTAGGGTTCACATGCAAGTATGGATAGGGTCTGGAGCGTGGACCCAGGCTTCAGGTAGTTGTAGAAGGCAGAGGCAGCCAGCGGCATTAAGTTTAGGGCTGGCTGTAGGCCGTCAGTTTGCGGTAGCAGCCTGAAGGGAAGCAGCACCAGAGAGTGGAGAGCAGCAAAAGCCAGCCATAGCTGGGTGCTAAGACGCACACACACACTCACACACACACACACACACACACAGACACAGACAGAGATAGATAGATAGATAGATAGATAGATAGATAGA